GTGAGAAAGTGTTTTGGGGCTGGAAAGCCGAACCCGCTGCAGCTGGGCACCAGGTCCCTCTGCACTGGCACAGCCTGCACGCAGGCGAGCCACGAAGAAAAGCTTTTAAGAAACATGGAACGGGCAGACATTCACCCCTGCTTCATGGCTGCCCTGGGTTCATCCGGGTCAGAAAGAGTGCCTGGGACTGAGAAACACACGTCATCCACTTGGAAGGTGGTGGGGGCAGCTTTGTGGGGAAGGGCTGGCCTGGCTCCCTGGGGGCACATGGAGGAGGCCGGCGGGTGAGGGAGGGTGGCCATGACAGACCCTCCAGCTCACAGGGCCTGGCATCCAATGCGGGCAACTTCCAGCCCCAGTGGGCTACGGTGGAGTGAAGGGGAGGACGTCCGCGGCTGTGGTTGGCATCTGCTGTGTGCCCCCACACTCGGTCCACTCTTCTCATCCTCCCCACGCCCTGGGGGCATCTCAGGTGTGCCTTCTACGAGGGGCTATCAGTGCTGGGCGGGGCTGATTCCAGTCAGGCCAGGCCGGTTGGTCACCTGGCTTATCAGCATGGTTCCCCCAACCCCATGCCAGCTCTGCCCCTGTCTGGCTCCTCACACAAACCTCTGCCTCCTCAGACTGTAAATTCTACCAAGTTAACCACCTTGGGTTTGTTCACCACAGGGGTCCCCCAGAGCCCGCACAGGCTCGGAGCATGCTGGGAGGTCAACAGTGACTTCCGCTTGTAGTGACCCCTGGGATCCCATTGCCACCCAAGCAGCAGGCAGCCTGTGGGTGGCAGGCTGGGGCCCAGAACTTTCTCTGAAGCGCGGATGCTCCCCTCCCCCCGACTGAGGGCATGAGCCAGTGACCCAGCGACTGCACCCAAACCAGCTCACGTGGCCACTCTAGGTGATGACCCAGCTGTCACTTCCGGCCGTCTCCATAGTCCTCAGCTTCACACACACACACACACACACACACACGCGCCTCAGCCCTCACTGCCACCGAGTCACGGGGACTGGCGCCAACACTAGAGGACTGGCAGGAGCTGCTCCGGGGAGTTTCCCAGAGGGTTACTCTTTATGGGAGTAGGAGGCCCCGTCTCTGCTGTGGTTTCGAAATGCTGACCTTGCAGTTGGTGGCCCGACATGTAACCACTACGCTCTCAGGGCTCCTAACTCCTCTCCCAAACCTCACTGCCATCAAGTCAATGCTGACTCACGGGGACCCCGGTGGGTTTCCAAGACTCACTGTTGATGGGAGTGGAAAGCCCAGTCTCCCACAGAGCTACTGGTGGTTTCAGACCACCAACCATGGGGATTGCAGCTCAACCTGTAACCACTGTGCTGTCAGTTAGGAGTCACTTCTTATGAGGAGAGACAAGCTGGCTTCAGAACACTGCTGCTGCTCTGGCCTCCACAGCTTAGCTTGTCGCCCCCCAGGCAGGTGGGGTTCTCCGTGGAGACTCTAAAGGAGCACAGGCCCCGTTGGCCTTCCTGCAGACTCACATCTGGAATGTGCACTGAGCAGCAGGGAAGACCCCCTCTGACAAGGGCGCTTGAAGCCAAGGCTGCCCAGCAGCCACTGGGACATCACTGGACTCCCACAAGGTGAGCACTGGGGGCGTGGTTCAGTGGGGTCAGCCCTGTAGCCCTGGGCCTGGCCCAGAATGTGCTCACCCACGGGTACTCAGTGCACTGCTTAGACGGACAGGCAGGCGGAAAGCGAGGGCCCTGGTCCTCGTGCTCTGCAGAGCACATGAGCTCACCTCTCATGCTATCCCCACGTCTGCATGGTGGGGAGCATGGCTGCCACAGCCTCTTAGGTGAGGAAGTGAGGTTCCCCTGTCTGGATGAGCACCGGGGTCTCTGGTGACCAGCGAGGGGCTCCCCATCTGCACTACTTGCAAGACATGGTGAGGGGGTCAGGAGCCGGGCCTCAGGTTCCAGGGAGGGAGAAGGAGCTGCCGGACCCTTTGCATGAGTGAGTGGATAAAGGGGCAGCTGTGGGCGAAGTCCACTGGGGAGGAGGCAGGGGCACTTCGGATGCACAGAACTGGCACCAGAATAACACTGGGGCTAACGGCAGCAGCTACTCACATCGGGCACGAAGGGAGGGTCCAGCATGCCGGCTTCTAAGCGCTTGAAGTTCATGTTCCTGAAGAAGGCATGCCGCTTGACTTCTGCGGCCCCCTCCTCCTGACAGCCCAGCCTCTGCTTGGCGTCTTTGGTGAGCAGCTGCGGTGGACAGAGAGGCTGTGAGGCCCGGAGGTGCAGGTGTTTGGTCACCTTGCTTTCACACATCTGTCTCTGAGACCTCACAGGCCCAGGCCAGGGCTGCTCCACGGCCCCTGCGTGCATCTGTGGTCATCTGCTCACAGGGGGGTGAGATGCCTGTTTCTCCCCAGACTGGACACCAGGGGCTGGAACCAACTGGGCAAGGAAGGAGTCCCGGCAGCACAAAGGGTAAGCAGCCCATGCAGCCAGGCCTGGTGGTCTGCCCCTGGAAAGATGACAGGCGAGGAAGCCCCGGGGCAGCTCCTCACCCACACGGGTCACGTGAGTCAGAATGGGCTTGGCGGCCCTGAGAGCAGACCACCACCTGCCGGTACAAACCACTGTGCCGGCAGCGAGGGGCTACCTCCATAGAGCGGCCAGTGTGGAGGGGAGTGGTCACACTCGGGGCCCAGTCCCCTAGGGAGCACCCAGACCCGGAACAGGGGTCAGAGGAACCCACGTCACCCGCCCACAGCTGCCCAGAGAAGGGCACTGGAGGTGAGTCTTAAAAGGCAGGGTCCCGGTGGGGGGAGTGGCAAGCCCAGGCTGACCATGGTGGGTCTCCGGGGCATGCATTTGGGAGACCACCTGAATGATGAAGATGTTGGGTGGGGGAGTCCCCCCATTAGCATGTGGAGTCAAGAAGGCGAGTGAGAGAAGGGGTTGGTGCTCAAGAGAGACCCGACCAAGGAGGCTGGAGGGAGCAGATGACTGACCGTAGTGCGTGGCCACCTACATCCAGGGTCTGAGCCCAGGTGTCTCTCTCTCTCCCCAATGCCCATACAGGGCCTCATTTCACTGTGGGACACTGTCTGACTGGCCGGGGTGAGGTGGGGTCAGGGGAACCAGTGTGGGAAGAGTGAGCTGAGGCTGGAGGGAGGCCAACAAAAGCCGAGCAGGAGCCATGGGTCAGTTGGTCCGGGAAGGCTCCCCGGGAGCGGGGACACCAGGGGGTGGTCTGGAGGAGGCCTCTGAGCTCTCAGGCAGAAGAGGGTGAGCAGTGCTTCCGGGTATGCTAAGGCCCTGGGGAGACATGGCCGAAGTGATGTGACGCGGCACAGCGGTGGGCATGCTGGGCAAAGCAAAGGGGCCTTTCCTGCCCCTGGTTGGGGGGATCTTCTGTGGTCACCCCTGTGAGCAGGTACAGGGGGTCTCACTTCCCCATGTGGGCAGCAGTGGGCACTGGAGCAGGCAGGGTGGAGCTTATGCCCTTTGGGAGGCTTGGGTTGAAGGGGAGGAGGCGCCTGTATCTACGAACCTGCTGGCCAGATGGGGTGGGGGTGGGGCTGTCTTCCAGAGACATTCTGATATTCTGAGCAGGTCCTGAGAGGCCTGGGCCCCTGGAGAAGTGAGGGGATAGCCCTGCGGGGGACCTCCATGTCCTTTCCTCCCAAGGACCCCTCCCCACCACCTAAGAAGGAATCAAAGGTCCTGGAGCAAGTACCAGCCCAAACCCAACCCAGTCACTGCCATGGGGTCATTTCTGTTGCCCAGTGAGTGACCCATGGGATGGCGCAGACCTGCCCCAGGGCGTTTCCAAAGCTGTCATCTTTACAAAAGCACGCTGCCCTCTCTTTCTCTGGAGGAGCGGCTGGTGGCCTTGAACTACTGACCTTTGGTTAGTAATCAAGTACTTACCCACAAGCACAAGGGCCTGCCTGTCTTTGAAAGGGTTAAGCTAGGAGTCTGGCCTCCTTTAGTCCACTGGCCCCTCCAGCTGGGACCCTGGAGTCCACAGGTGTCACACCAGGCAGTGACAGGGAGAGGTGGACTGGTGGGCAGTGCCAGGTGGCCATCTGTTCCTGCCAGGCAGGACGCTAGGGACCCGCCCACTTCTGCTCTGTCTAGGAGCAGATGGGGGATGCAGGTTTTTAAGTCACCCCCCCCTCCATCTTTACATGTTGACGATTGGCCCCCTGATCTTTAAAACCCTGCGTGGGATGAACAAACACCCACAGAGGCTGCCGGCTTGCAAATGTGGTATCAGGTACACAGTGAGTGGCACCCACACCGGAAGTGGGAGGGAGAGTGGTGGGGAGCTAGGAGGGAGGAAGGGCGCCCTGAGGCAGGCAGAGAAGGGGTGCAGGAGGCCCATGGGTAGACTCAGGAGGGGTAAGTCTGGGGCCTGGGCACTGACTTGCTTGCTGTTTGTCTGTGGAGTGGCTGGTGCCCCAACTCAATGAAAGGCTGGGAGGCAACCCCCTTATATAAGACGTCTGTCCTGTCCTGAGCTGTACAGGAGGCCACGTGCAGGGCACAGAAGAGGCCCAAGACAAGTACTCCCAGACCCTGGGGTCCTTTATCAGGCCGAATGAGGCTGGATCCCTCCGGGGGGGTAGGCACACACAGCTTTCACTGTTGAGCATGAAAGGGGAGGTGAGTTTGAGCCTGGGCAGTTCCCCCTGGGCCCACGGAGTGCCCTGAACAGGGGCTTGGCCCTGCCTTCCCTGAGTGACCGCCAGGGGGCAGCAGACGGCCAGCAGCGCCCTATCCCAGCTGGGGGTGGGGTAGATCTGGGCTCCCAAGCAGAATCAAGGGAGGGGGGCTGCGGGTACCCTCTCTGCCTTTGACCTCTCAGTAGCATGGCAGTCTCCTGAGACCTGCTTCTCTGCATCCCTGACCTGACCTGCAGCCATCTGGTGATACTCTGGCCACGCCCCCTTTTCTCTTGTCCTGTGTGACCACACAGACCCCTCCCCACCAACAAGCCAAGTACGCAGCCCCTAGACTTGCCTTCCCCATTAGCTGACCTCCTGTCCCCTGCTCCCGGCTGGGGCTCTGTGGGGAGGGGCTGCATGCTGTCTGGGGATCCTGGCTTGGGTGCACGTCTGCAGCCCTCCCTTGGGGCCTCTCAGAGGCCAAGCCATCTGTGCTTCCTTTTCTGTGAGGAGGGGTCAGGAGGCAAATGTGGCCCAGACCCTGCCTCCACAGCTTGGTGGTGTTGGAGGGAGGGGCTTCTTAGGAGAGGTAGCTGGGCGGGCTCTAAGCAAGATGGTCCCTGGGCTAGAGGGATGCAGCCTTGTGGGGGTTCTAGATCCTGGCACTCCCCCTGGGGGCTCTGGATGCTCCCGATGAGCCTGGCCTGAATGCAGATGGTGAGGAGCAGAGAGCGCCCTCTCCAGGCCCAGCCTGCCCCCCGCCCCCCAAGGCTGCTCCAAGTACAGTGGCCCTGAGGGAGAGGAAGTCTGAGGCTAGAAGGGCCTTCCTGTCTGCGTGGGGCCGCTGCCAACTGAGAGAGGTCTCAGGTGGCCTGGGTGGAGATGGGGAGCCTGAGAGCCAGGCAGAAATGGGGAGTGGTCCCCCTCCCACCCCAAACTTCAGCCCTGCTTCCTGAAGACAGAGCCCTGAGGCCTGCTCCTGCCTGCCCTCCCCAAAGTGATGGCTGTGGTCCAGGGGCCGCCCCACTCTGCTCCAACAGCCCCCATAGCTCCCGTGACTGCTTCCATCTCTAGCTGCCCAAGCCCATGGGCCCTGCTTATGGCCCGGGTCATAGCTCATTCCCCCGGCCACTGACACTCAGCACCAAGCGTCACATGCCTCTAAACCGACTGCCACTGGTGCCGACTCACGGGGACCCTCCAGGACAGGGTAGAATGGCCCCTGTGGGTTTCTGAGACTGTCAGAAAGCTTCATCTTTTTCCTGCGGAGCGGCTATTGGTATTGAACTACTGACTATGCAGTTAGCAGCCCAACACGTAACCACAACACCCTCAGGGCTCCCTGGGCAACTCCTTTGGTGGATGGGAAACCTGGTGTTCCAAGACGGTGATGATTCAGAGGGGGAGGTCCAGGCCCCCGCCAAGGGCGGGCCCTGCCCCACGGTCGATCCCTGGGCATCTGGAGGACCAGCTTAGAACACCTCTTTCTCCCTCCCTGACTCCCCCAACCAGTTTGCTAGACCAGAGTGGCCTCTGCTGTCCACCTCAGATCCTCAGTGCTCAAGGCCCCTGTCTCCCCATCCTGCCCTGAGAGCCCCCCGGTCCGAGGCACCGCAGGCTGGCACAGCTCACCGGACTCACCATCTTGCAGACGGACTCGGCCTCCTCGGAGAACTTGTGTGAGTAAGCCTCTTCGGTCTCCAGGACCCGGCGGTCTACCTCCTCACGCTTCACCTTCTCCTTGCGGCCGCGGAAGGGCGACTGGCCCTCGATCATCTCATAGATGAGGCAGCCCAGGCCCCAGTAGTCAGGGCTCAGGCCGTACCTCTGGTTATTCAGGACCTCTGGGGCTGTGGCAGAGCAGGGGGAGGAGTGAGAGGTGAGGGGCAGAAGGGCCTGGGCCAGCTCCTAACCCTGGGACATGCTTCTCCCTGTGGGCTCCTGCCGACCAATTGCCTTAACCTCCGCTGCCTCCCAGGAGCCTGACTGTTTGGCTGTCCTCTGTGTCCCCAGTGGGTGCTGTGTGTGGCCACGGGGCCTGCTCCCAGAACGGAAGCCTTATGCACACTGTGCCGGGGACAGGAATGGCCCAGGTGTGCAGTAGGTGTCCATGTGGAGTTGGTGTGGAGCCTGGAGGTGTGTCCCTGCAGTACAACTATAACTTCACGTGAACATGGAATATGCCCCCTATGACAGACTGCCTCATCACAAAGGTACCAGAGAGCTTGGTTCCCATTCTTGGGCCGGCCGCAGATGCCTGGAGGTAGAGCAGCCCTGTGCGCTGGCTACACATAGCCAAGGCTGGGCAGAGAGAGACCCTCGCACACTTGCATGTAAAAGGAGGTGAATGCGAACACCAGCAGACGCACGCACCACACAGCCAGACGTCTGCAGGTTGACCTCGATGTTTTGCAAATGGGAGGTTTACCTTGTTTCGGCAGTGCGCTCATTTCCTGCCTGTGTGTCACATATGGTCATTCTCACGGTATTTGACGTTTTTTCCTTGAGGTGTTCTCTCCCTTCCTCCCTCCCTGCCATCAAGTCGATGCCAACACACAGGGTTCCTGTAGGACAGGGCAGAACTGCCCCTGTGAGTTTCTGAGACTGGAACTCTTTACGGCAGTGAAGAGCGCCCATCTTTCTTCCTTGAAGCAGCTGGTGATTTCGAACTGCTGACTTTAGGTTAGCAGCCCATATGTGTTAATCGCTGATAATATAGTGGAGGCATAACTCTGACAAGCATCAAAACCCAGGCCACACAACAGCCATCTCTAGTGAGTGACCCTGAATAGGATTGTGAATCTTTCTTCCATGGAGCAGCTGATAGGTTTGAAGTGCCAGCATGGCAGTTGGCAATCCTGTGCCTAATCCACAGCACCACCAGGGCTCGTTTCATAAGCACCCATTCACGGCCAGAGAGGAGATGCCATCTTCTAGTGACCCTGGAGGACAGGGTAGAACTGCCCCTGGGGGCTTCCAAAGGTGTAGTCTGTATGAGCGTAGAAAGCCTTGTCTTTCTCCTGCTAAGCAGCTGGTGAGTTTGAACTGCTGACCTTGTGGTTATGAGCCCAATGAGTAACCAACCCACTATACCACCAGGGCTCCTTATTACATGCATTAAAAAACCCCTCAAAACACTGTCATCGAGTTGATTCTATCCTATGGGGCTGAGTAGACCATCCCTGTGGGTTTCTGAGACTGTCACTCTTTATGGGAGTAGAAAACCTCATCATTCTCCTGAGGAGCAGCCAGTGGCTTTGACTGCCGTCCTTGTAGTTAGCAGCCCAAAGCTTAAACCACTATGCCACTAGGAAACCAAAGAATTGGTGTGAATCACTATACTGCTGTAGTCTGAATCGAACTTGCAACACCTCTGAGCAAGGTCTCCCTGCACCTTCAGTATCTCTCACATATTTGTCCACCTACCTGCAAACCTATTTATCTCACACAGGCATACACACACTCAGACATGCAATGTACCAAATTCCATGAAATTCCATGAAAAGGGACTGCTAGCCCCAGGTCAGTTACAGAACTCTGGTGACACCTAAGCTTTGGGGCCTGAAGCCCAGACTGGTGAGAGCATACACGGTATGCAGGAGGAAGCCCCCTGCCTTCGTGTTTCCCCGAAAGTAAGACACCCCCCAAAAATAAAGCCTTTCCGATAATAAGCCCCCCTGAAGCTACCATAACTCTGGACTCTGGACCGTAGCGGCAGGTACTGCCCGCGCAGCTCACTGTTGGTTGCAGCGCAGCTGGAGCAGACAGGAAGTGTGAGTAAATATACCATAGATTGTTGCACATGGAAATAATGGTAGTAACAAATTCTTGATATTGTAGGATTCAGTTTGTCTGGTTATGCTGGTTTGTGATGAGAACTACTACCGTATCGTATACAGGTAATAAATTTCCTTTTTTTGTTGTTCAACAATAAATGTATACTGTATTCTTTATAGAAAATTAAGACCTAGCGCATCTTTGGGAGCAAAAATTAATACAAGACACTGTCTTGTTGGGGGAAACAGGGTAGAAGGAATCAAGGCCATGGTCTCTGGCAGGGCAGGAGCCCAAGACCTCTGGAAGCCACGTCCCTTCTCTCAGCCTATTCCCTGGGCCACAAGGGGGTTGCCCACCCACCCACCAAGTCTCTGCTTCCAGGTAGTCTCCCTGAGCCCCGCCACATCCAGCCTTGTCTGAGCACGGAGGGGCCTGCCTTTGGAGTGCAGGCGGGCTGGGACTAGAGCTCTATCTTGTCCACCCACACCTGCAGGCCCCTTGTTCCATGCCACCCTCCCCCAGCAGACCCGAGGGAGACCCCCGACTCTAATTCTAGTGGTATCACACAAAGGGGGCTCTCTGTGAGTGGGCCCCTCCTGGCACTCACCCATGTAGCCGACAGTGCCCACCCGACCTCGAATCAGGTCTCCCTCAGGGATCTTCACAGCCAGGCCCAGGTCCGAGATCCGAATGTGGCCTGAGGAGAGAGCAGGCGGATGGGTCCCTGGCTGCCCTCTTAGGGTACAGACCTGCTGTGTGACCCTGGGCCAGGCACTTGGCCTTTCTGAACCCTGGGGGTCTTCACCTGGCACCTAGAGATGGTGACATCTCAGGGTGACATCAGGGCCTTGGGGAGGCCTCAGCTTTCGGGTGGTGTGGGCAAGTCATTCCTTTCAGGAGTTCAGCAAAGGCCCAGGGAGCTGCCTGGGCTGGGCTGGATGTTGACTGACCTGCCTCATAAAATGCACCCACCCCCCACCCCATCCCGGGCTTCCTTTTGAGAAGGCTGAGGTCACAGAGGCCCTGGCCTGCATGGCCAGCTTCCTGGGAGGGATGGGAGGCTCCTGGACATTTGGTGACCCTCATCGGGGAGGGAAAATGACAAAGGCTTTGGGAAACAGCCTAGGCCTGACCTTGCTGGTCTTGGGAGGTTGGCTGGTTATTTGCCCTTTGGAGTCAAGAAGGGGTGGGCTGGGGGAGAGGGGAGAGGAGGGCAGGGATGAACCCAGAGCTCAATGTCTGAGGGGCTGCGGTGTTGAGTGGGGTCAGGCTACCTCGGACTCCTTTTCTCACTGTGGGTGCCAGGGCCCTGCCAACCTGGACCCCAGAGGGGCCAGGACCAGCAGGCTGCCCTGGGCCGGAGTGCTAAAGAGTTTCTACCCAGGGGGTTCCCTGACAAGAGCTGGAAAGGGGAGGCAGGGATGGGGGATGGTGGCACTGTGGGGAGGGGGCAGTTCTACATCTGCAGGGAACAGGAGTCTGTGGATTTGGGCTCCACCAGGCCCTGGGGCCTGTACCTGCCCCTCCACATGGGACACCATACACAAGGTGCTCAGGTGGCCAATGAACCACCTCCCTCCCCTCCACTCCCCTCCCCTCCAGTCGGGCTGCCTGGTATGTGGGACACGGGTACTGTGGGGATCTCTCTGGAGGCTGGCTCCACTGAGCCTCGGCCTCAGCCCCGGCCTCTGTAAAATGGGCACAGGGGTAGCAGCCCTGCCCGCTCTGGGTGTGTGGACAGCTAGCCAGGTAAAAGGGAGGCTGGAGGGCTGGTGGGGGGGCTGTCCATGGCAGCCCCTACCCTCCAAGAGAGACCAGCAATGAGCACACGTGGCACTATGGGAGCTGGCCCCGACTGAAAAACAACTTCCCCTCAAAGTACGTGGCAGGGGCCCCATGCTACCCTCCACTCTCTGCAGTGGGCTGGGCAGGGCCCAATGTGGCCTGCCCTCTCTCCCTTGAGCCACGCTGCCTCTCCAGCTGACAGACCACACCCTCTCCAGGTTCCCAGTCTACCCCCCCTCCCCCGCAGAGCAGGACTGAGGGAGGGGATGGGGTCCTCTCCCCCTGCTTGCCCACCCCTTCTCCCTCCCATGGCAGTGATAGCCAAGGCGGCCTCTTGCCCGAGTCTCTGGGGACCCAAGGCCCTGTGGGTTGGGACGCTGGCCTCAGTTAGAGGGCAGGATGAGGGCCCGAACGGCTGACTTACCATAGTCATCCAACAGGATGTTCTCGGGTTTCAGGTCCCTGAAAGGAGAGGAAACAAACCCCTGAGAGTGGGCCCTGGTGTCTAGAGCCACCAGCTTGGGTGTGCTGGGCCAGAGCGGCCAGGGCCCTTCCCACCTCCTGTCTTGGGCTGCCGGGCCTCTGAGCTAAGACATCTCCTCTGAGTCCTTTGTTCGACTGGCTACCCAAAGCCGCTTCCCGACCCTGCAGAGTGTAACCAGGGAGGGAGAGGCCAGTGCTGGCACCTGTCCAAGGCCCTGGGGGGCACAAGCGAGGTGCAACTGGCCGCTAACCTACAGGCTGAAGGTTTGGGCCCACCCGGCGGTGCCCTGAGATCCAGGTTTGGCAGCAGTCTGCTCTGCACAGACCAGACAGGAAAGCCTGGCGGAGCAGCTGGACGGGGCCACACGGCAGGCTGCCATGCCCGGGGCTCGATCGATGGCCACGGGCTTGGTGTGGGCACCAGTCCCAACACAGACAACCAACACCCCGACCCTGCCCCAGCCAGAGGGCTGGGAAGACCCTGTTGCTTCAGGGTGCTCTGGGGTGGGCATGCAAGTGACCAAACCCACTGCCACTGAGTCCCTTCTGATCCCTGGTGGCGCTGGAAGGGCAGGGCCACTCCACCGGCTTTCCCACCCAGACCACCTCATCTTCTCCTTGCTGGGGTTCGAACCACGCACCTTTAGGTGGCCCAACCCTTAACTCAGCACACCACCAGGTCTCCCTCTTCTGGGCGTGAAGGATGAGAAATGATCGTGAATACAGCACCAGATGTAAAATGGGGCAGAGGAACCAGGGGCAAGGACTCGAACAGGGAGAGGCAGGCAATTCCCAGGAGGAAGACCCAGGAGACTGGCACCACCACCCCGCCCCCCAATGTCAGCTGTGACCTGGGAGGAAGCACAACTGTCCGAGTGGCCGCTCTATCCCATCCCTGATGTGGTCCCCTTTCCTGGAGTGGGCAGCAGTGGGAGGCGGCCATGAGCTGGGCCTTGCTGGTCAAGATCCCCTGTGGGAGGAAGAGCAGGGGCTGGGGGTGTGAGCCGCAGTGGAAGGCACTGGGCTAGCGTGCGCGCAGGCCAGCAGCGTCTCAACCAAGTGGCTTTGTTTATGTAACTGATGGCAGCTGTCCTCAAGGGGCGTGGTCCACAGACCCGGACCCAGTGAGGCAGCCTCACCACATGACAGTTGGTGTTTATGTGTAGTTTTTTATTACAAAATACTTGTATTGTTGTTGTTATTGAAATTGCCTTCCTTGATGCGCGAACAATTCCAAACAAGGCCAAGAGCCCACATCTCCACAAGCTACCCAGCCACCCAGACGGAAGGGCAAGTCGCTGGTGGGTAATGGACAGAGCCCAAACCCCTGGGGAGGCCACAGCCAAGGGCCCCTTCCAGAAGGAGGCACGTGGTCCCATCCGCCCCAAAAGGAGAGAACCAGGAGGGGCTTGGAGGAACTTCTAAAAGCCATCCAGTGGAGGGTGCTTGCTCTTCTCCCCTGGGGAATGTTTTCTTTCTTTTCACTTGAATGAAAACAAAGCACAAATTGGGGAGAAAGGGGTGTGTGAGGGGGGGAGCAGGGTTGGGAAAGTCACCAAGGCCATCCCTTCCTGTTTTCAAATGCTTCTTGACCCCACACAAAGACTTCCCCCAAGAGCTTCAAACTGGGACCCTGGGAACATCCCAGCAGGTTCCCAGGGGCTGGTGGCTTTCAGGGTTTGAAGCTCTAGACTTTGAACTTCTTAACACTCCCTCCCAGGCTCTGTGTGTGTGTGTGTGTGTGTGTGTGTGTGTGTGTGTGTGTCTCCCTCCCACCTGCCCTTTCACAAATGCTCTTTTCTCAATTTAAAGAAGAAAAAGCAACCTACCCCACCCCACCCCTCCGCTCAGAGTAGTAATGATAGTGCCCTGGTCCTGACCAATCCTTACGACCCCAAAGGATCCATTACAAATAAGACCTACCAAAAGGCCAACAGTTTGAAACCACCAGCCACTCCTTGGGGGACAGACAGGGCTTTCTACTCCTGGAAAGAGTTCCAGTCTTGGAAACTCACAGGGGCAGTTCTACCCTGTCCTATAGGGTCACCATGAATTGTCCATGGCTCAGTGGCAGTGAGAGCTGAGGCACGTAACCTAAGAAATGGACTTAGCGTTTCGAGGCTCAGCATCTAAGGGGATTTAAGAATACCTTATCCCCATCGATCTACCTCTCTCCAGCACCTTTGTCAGGTGTGTCTGTGGTGACCTGTGTGTTGCTGTGATCAAGTCACCCCTGGTGGATGGTTTCAGGACAGTCTCCAGACTAAGACGAAGAAGAAAGGCCTGGTGCTCTGGTTCCAAGAAACCAGCCTTTGAAAGTCCTAGGGGGCACAGTTCTTCTCTGATCAATAGGAACTGGTTTGGGCGCACTGTGAAAAGCAGGGTATGATGATTCGAATTCAAAGTAGGGTAAGATGATTCCATTTCAAAGTCTCATATGTACCACTGTTTAAACATAGGAATGGAAAAAGCCTTTTCTAAATTCTTTGGAGGCGGATGGTAAGAAAAGTTCAAAGACCCTGTTTATGGACTGTGGACACTGGGTCCTGCACAGTCCAGGCCCCATGGGCCTGAGGGAAGTAGAGAGATGCGGACAGGATCTGAGCAGGTGGAGGGCAGTGTGGGGTCACTATTCAGATGCCTGCTCCTGGTGGCATATCAAGGTCTTCCCAGACTGCTTCCAGAGCATGGCACCAGCTCCATGAGCTTCCCTGGCATTGGGTCAGAAGGCTGGAGGAACAGACCATGTGGGGGGCATGTGATTCTTGTCTCCCCAAAACTCTAGAGGCGCCTGAAGGGGACCTGGCAGCCCAGATGCTGTGGTGGGCGTTGTCCGTCCAAGGATATGGATCTTCACGCACAAGGCCCTTGATCCCTGGGCTGAAGACCACCGCCCAACGGGCGTGCCTAGGTGGACAAGGGTGCTCACCTGTAGACGGTGTTCTCCCGGTGAAGGTCCTCCAGCCCGCACAGGATCTCCGCCGCGTAGAACAAGGCCCGCTCCTCCTCGAAGCCAGGGTTGCCCATGTTGTAGATGTGGAATTTGAGGTCGCCCCCATTCATGATGGTTAGAACCAAGCACAGCGCGTCCTTAGTCTCGTAGGCATAGGCCAGGTTGACCTGAGAACACATGAGCAGCCCCAGGGTGAGGCCAAGTGAGGGGGAGGGGTGACCACCACCACACTTGCTCTCTTCTTCTTCGGGACCCCTAAAGCTGGGGCGGGTGGGTAGGCATGGTGGAGGCTGACACAACATCACGTTACTCTCCCCAAATGGCCTCAGGGTCACCCTTCCTGTGGACCCTCCGGGCTGACGAAGGAGGATTCATACTTGAGCCCTTCCTAGTCAGGGGGCGTGGGTGAGGCAGAAGGGGTGCAGGCAGCGATTCCAACAGGACCCTGGCTGCATTTTCCCACCTCGTGAGCATGTGCATGCATCATCAGCTGGCATGACTGTACCCTGCCTTGGTGGTCCGTCAAGAGCAGTAAGACCCTCAGGTAGGTGGGGTTCCTCACTACAGGGCTGAGGGGAAGGCGGCGGCGGGAGAAGGGCCTTTGTTGTGTTCTGATTCTGAGATTCGGGGGCTGACCTGGACTAACGTAATGTATGTAAACAAATTGGTGGTTTAAGCCCATCTGTCACCCTTTGAAGAGAGAGGTGGCAGTCTGCTCTCCTGACTGTCTCGGAAACCGGGAGGGGCAGTTCTTGTCTGTCCTCAGAGGTCGCTATGAGTCAGATTGACTTGATGGCAGTGAGTTATGCCTCTGGATGCCATTCTGCTTGGAAACAGAATTTCTTCATTCATCAAGCCCATTTTGCTTGAATGTAGTGGGTTCTAAATCGAATCACTTCTGAGCTCTAGAAAGAGCAGATTAGACAGCGAGGCCTACAAACGCTGGGGCAGACAGATGCCACCTGAGGACCGTCTACAAGTCAACGAATCAGCGACCATCTGGGACTACTGACAAGGAGAGACTTGACAGGTGCCACCTGAGGACCGTCTACAAGTCAACGAATCAGCGACCATCTGGGACCACTGACAAGGAGAGACTTGACAAGACAGGGACTCTGCCTCCAGAAACGTGAGAAGATAAGCTTCTGTTCTTTAAAGCTACCCACATATATTGGCTGGGAGCAGCAGAAGAAGGGGAGGCAGGGGCAGGAGGAGGACATGGAATGTGTGGCTAACTGCATCCAGGAATAGTTGCCTCCCTTGCCACAAGACCGGAAGAACTGGATGGTGCCCAGCTGCCATGATGGATTCTATAAGGAGAATATCAAAAGGGGGGCAATGTAGAACAGAATTTAAAATCTTCATGAAATTCAGACTTCCTGGAGTCATATAGGCTGGTTGAACCCCAGAAACTGTTACCCCGAGGTCATCTTTCAACCTCACACCAGAAAGAAGCCATCTTAAACCTACAGACAGTTTGGTTTAGCTAAGAGAGAGTGCCTGCCTCGAGCGTCGTGCTTCTTTAAGATCTATTATCTATGGAATGCAACTGACAACAGCCACTTGGAAGAGGAGCTGGGCACCTCTGGGGGTGGGGGGTGGGGTTGACATCAGTGGGGCGGAACAACACAGAGAAGGAGGGTCAGACGGGGGACAGAGGTCGCTGAACCAGACATGCTGAAACCGTTGACCTGGGATGTGTTCTGCTGGGTCTGTTCTCGACAATAACAGCAGCACGGAAATCAAATCACAGCTTCGAGGTGAAGGAAGAGGACTGACGGACACAGCTGTGGGGCGGCAGCGGTGGCAGCAGCACGGGGACCCTGGAGAACCCGGCCCGGCTCAGGAGGGCTGCTCCTGCAGCAGAGCCGCGCCAGGACTCACCACAAACTGGCTGTTGACCTTCTCCAGGATCTGCTTCTCGTTGAGCGCCAGGGACTCGCCTTTCCTCTTCTTGATCCGCTTCTTCTCCAGGCGCTTGCAGGCATACATTTTACCTGTGGCCCGCACCTGGCAGGCACAGACCTGAGGAGGAAGGACACCGTCTGTTGTCAATTGAGACTGCAGAGTGAAGGGGTGGAGCACAGCCTGTCAATCAGGTTGCAGCTTAATGATCTCACTTGGAGGAGCTAAGGAGATAAAAACTCTTTCTTATACACAGATGAGTGTCTATGGATTTGTTTCCTAGTCTATCCGGACTGACACAAATGCCAAGGTGGCAAGGCTGGGGTACAGGGCCTGTTGGGACACTGGTCTCCAGGGTTGGGAGCTGATGAGGTCAAAGGGGCTTGCAGGCCACAGGACCTGACAGTGGGCACCGGCCTCTGGTGGTCTCAGGTCTACTGCTTCCCTGGGCCTTACCTCCCCAAGTTGCCTTTGGCACCCACCCCCCACCCCTCACCCCCCCTTAAAAAGTTCTTAGCTCTGGAAGGTGAGAGGCCTCCAAGGGCACGTAGGTTGCAGATGAAGGTTTGTGGAGCGTCCACGCCAAGGGGCAGATGATTGGTGTGGGCCTGAAGGGCCACGTCCCTGCAAGATGCCTCTCTGCCCCAGCCTCTCAGCTACATAGGGAGAGTACAAACTGGGGACTTTCAAGCATTATCCTGCTGGTGGGAGGGGCTGGTTATAGGTGGAGCATGGAGGGAGACCCCAGAGATACCTGCCTTGGTCATTCATGGGAACGGGAGCCAGAGTACACGGGGACTGGCTTCAGTTATACCCTTTCCCAGCTGTGGGGTCTGACTGAGCCAGGGCACCATTCTAAGCCTCTGCATTTGGAGCAACAAGGGAATATCGGAGGATGGGCTGGAATCAGACCCCACGTGGCTGCACCTATTAACACCGCCCTCAGGCCCACCCCCTCATACATGTCTCCCCTCCAGACTTGAAGGACGCTGGCTCCAGAGAGCACCTCCACCCCACACCCCTGCCCCAGACCACTGCCCTTTCCACTTGAGACCCCGCTAAGTCTGAGCGAACCTCCCTAAAGGCCTGACCGCTTCCCGCCCTTACCACTTCAGCCCTTGAAAAACCTACACAACCTGGGACCATCCATTGGCTCAGGACGCCTTGCTCAGAAGAGTGCAGCAGGCCTTCTCTGGAGGGACAGAGCAGCGACTAGACTGCCAGAACTTTCTCTGGAAACGATAAACGTTCACTCACCTCCCCGAAGCCCCCCTTTCCGAGCACTCGGTATTGCCTGAAAGTGGTTTTGGTCACTGGTTGCCTACGGAGGAAAGCAAGAATCCAACATTGAGTTCATGGCCCGAAGACCCAGAACCCACAGGAGACCAGATACACACCCCAGGAAATCTTGACAGTGGGAAGCACAATTCTACAGTCTCCCAACAGTCCTGAGGACCCTCAAAAATCAGGACTTACACCGGGGCTGGGTGTCAAATCCTCTGGCTGAGTGCCCCACCAGTTCGCTTGCTGTTCCCCACCCCCACCCCCCAATTACAGGAGCCAACTCCTTAAAATAACCTCTTAGCATATATATGTATATGTGTATACACACACACACACACACACACACACACACACACACACACACACACACACACATCTACTGGTGTTGCTTCTCTGAAGAGGCCTGCTGGGCACAGGCTCTGGTGGGATCAGTGGTTCTGCAGGAACGGAACCTTAAGGGTGAGTTCTTGGGGTTGGCTTGGGGCCATGGATCGGGTGCTTTAATCTGGTTCCACTGAGAAGCACTACGGACTCTAGCAGAACTCCTGGAAGCCGCAATCGGGAAATCGCAGGTGGCACTGTGCCGGGTAAATCTGCCCTGTGAGAGAGACCACTGTAACGTGGAGAGCCAGGGGGTCATGTGTGCCTGGCCCTGGCCCTTTCCATCGTCTCATGCGCATGTGAAAGGTGGACAGAGCCTGAGGAGGCCCGCAGCATGGAAATGCTCAGCTGACACTGCTGGCCAAGAGCACTGCAAGGCCCTGGAGAACCAACAAGTCCATCTCGGAAGAATGACTCGAGACCAACAGAAGAGACTGGGTCCTAGAAAGGCCATCAGGCTCCGTCCGGTAGAGGGTCAGTAAAAAAAGACGAAGACCCTTGATAAGATGGATGGGCCTAGTGGCTGCCACAGGGAGCACTGGCGAGGAGGGCGCAAGACCGGGCAGGGTTTCACTCTCTTGTACATGGGGACCAGGTGGCGTTCCACTCTGCTGTACACTGGCACCAGGCAAGGACTGGGCAGTGTTCTCTGCTGTACATGGGGACCAGGTGGTGTTCCACTCTGCTGTACATGGGTCGGTATGAGTCAGGGCCGACTAGATGGTGGGTGATAACCATGATGACAGGCCAGGGACTGTCCTCCTGTCTCTAAAAGTATAATCCTTAAAAAGGGTGGATGATAAACTCCCTCCTCCGTGGTCAGGGTTTGGAGTGAGAATGTCTATTTCCACATTCCACACACTTGGTACGGTCCAGTCCAGTGGATGTCAGTGGCCACAACTACCGAAAGTGGGAGCCGGGTGGCCAAGAGTGAAGGCCTCGAACGGAGGGCTGGGTGAGTCCCTTACTGTGTGACCCAGGGCCAACCCATGACCATCTCGAGAAAACTGGAGTGAACAGCAATGCCTCGGCCTCCAGGGCACTCTCCGTGGCTGTGTGTGCCCAGGAGTCCATCACAGCTGCAGGGACGAGGGCATCCGCCCCCACCGCCCGGTCTCGGGTAACAATAGCAATGTGAGGAGCACTGTTGTTGCAAGGGGCCTCCTTTCCTCTCTCTCTGGCTCCAGGAGATAGCACGGTCTCGCTCATTCTGTAGACAGGCAGGCCAAGGCTTCCAGAGAGGAAGGGAGTGGCCCAAGGCCAGGCTGGTCAGTGGCGGGGCTGGGGTTCGAGGACAGACAGCCGGTGTCCCAAGGCCTCCTTGAGACCTGACCCAGATAAAGGTCCAAGGGGTGGGATCTGCTGGTAGAGCTGGTGTGATGATGATGTCCCTCCCACCCCCGTTCTGGAACCTCACCGGGTCACCTGCTCTTCCTCTGACCCCCTCAGCTGGTGCGAGATAAGTGCACACTGCAGCCAGGCCGAACAGAGGGTTCTGTTACACACGACGTCACTACCGAGGGGAGATGGCCTCAAATCGGAAAACTACCTCAACGATCCTCTACAGAGGAGTGGGTTAAATAAAGGTGGTCGTGCAGCCGACTCAAAGAATGGGGTAGGTTGTTATCGGCTGGTCAGGAGCCCCGGAGGCCCAGGGGGCTGTGAATGGGCTGCTAACCAAAAGGCCATTGGTTCCAACCCACCAACCTCTCCATGGGAGAAAGATGAGGCTGTGTGCTCCAGTACGTAAGTGGTCCGCTCTGTCCTAGAGGGCCGCCGTGAGTCAGAATCAGCTCGAAGGTGGTGCGTTTTGAGTTTTATTGGCTGATAAGGACCTGGTGGGCGGTATGTGATGAGTCGCAGTGGTTTGACCACCAGCCGCTCTGCGGGAAGAGGATGCGGCTATCTGCTCTATCATGAGGGACAGACTGCACCCACGGGGTGGCTCTGCTCGGTCTTGGGGGGTCACTGTGAGTTGAGGAGGGTGGAGGCTCGGGCTTGGGCTTTGTTAGCTCATAGAGGGAGAACTCTCAAGGAGAGTGACGCTGAGGAGCCAGGACTGGATGCCACATGGACACAGCAGGACATCAGAGGAGGGGGAGGTGCATTCTCTCTAACTTTGCAGTGGTTCTCCACCTTCCCAATGCCACCACCCTTTCATCCAGTGCCTCATGTGGTGGTGACCCCCCAACCATAACATTATTTTCGTTGCTACTTCATCACTGTCATTTTGCTACTGTTAGAATCGGGTGACCCCTGTGAAAGGGTTGTTCGACCCCCCCCAAAGGGTCGTGACCCCAAGGTTGAGAACCGCTGCTCTAACAGGAGCCACGGGAGGTTATGGGCCTTACCTGATTCCCACACGAAAGCTCTGCACCCCATACACACTCACACTCACACACAGACAGGTGCACTGGGCCCGGGCTCACCTTTCTAACCATTTCCACTGGAGGAAGCGGTCGAAATACATGCTGTCCAGGTACTCTCGAAAGGGCTCCCCCCGAAGGTAGTCGTGGACGGATCTAGCTCAGATGGGACAAACAGGTGACGTGTTCTAACCCGGGGCTAGAAGCAGATGGGCAGCACGATGCCCAGCAGGCCCCCTCCCAGCCTATCCACGTCCAGCCTCGAAGACTTGAGCACATGGTGCCCTGGGCAGATGCTACGGCCCGTCAGAGGCTGTCAGAGAGAGGGCTCCATTCTGTAGACGTTCCTTATGTGCCTACTACATGCTGGCTGGCAGTCCTGGTTGTGGTATAGCTTACGTGTTGGACTGCTAACCGAAAGGTCAGTAGTTTGAATCCACCAGCCCCTCCGAGGGAAAAAGACCAAGCTTTCTACTCCTATAAAGAGTGCCAGTCTCAGAAACTCGCAGGGCCGGTTCTGCCCCATCCTGCAGAGCTGAGCCATACAGGTCCGATTCGACTCGATGGCAGTGGCCACGTGCCAGCCCAGGAGCCCTGGTGGCACTGTGGTTAAGCATTCGCAGTGGCTCTATAGGACAGGGTAGAACTGCCTCTTTGGGTTTCTGAGACTTCAAAATCTTTACAGGAGCAGACAGCCTTCTCTTTCTCCTGCAGAGTTACTGGGGGGGTTTAAACTGCTGACCTTGTGGCTAGCAGTTCAATGATGCGCCCATGACATGGCCAGGGATTCTTCTAAAGATGGCAGCCTGGGAAACCTGGGGTGGGGTGGGGGGCGGGGGCAGTTCCACTCTGTCTGCAGGCTGGCTCGGGCCGGAACCGACACAGTGACAGGGAGGCTGTGGCAGGGTTTGGTCTAGGCCCCGGTGCTGACATTGCACTGGGGAGATGGCCCCACGCACCGTACCGGGGACCCTCGTGGACATGGGGGAAGGAGGGAATCATAGTTGAGTTGAGAAGAATAGGTGGAGACTGGGTGCAGGAGAGGTATCGCACCCAGAGGAGGGTGGAGGGAGGATGGGCAAGGTGGCCCAGGCAGAGAGTGGCCCATGTGCAAGGGCCCTGTGGCAGCAGGAAGGGAGAGCTGAGTAGGGGGGGGTGTGTCTCTGAGGGGCAGCCCCCGAGCTGGGGAGGGTCCGATGAGGTGACTGGTTTGGGGTAGAGGCTGGAGGGCCAATGGTGGGGGAGATGACTGGGGGAGGCCTGGAAGTCTGATGAATTGGAGGAATTTATTAGGAGGGGGTCTTGGAGGACTGACAAAGGAGGGACGGTAGGGGGTGCTGTGGTAAGCTTGGAGGGCTGAGGAAGTCTAGTTGTGGTAGAGGGGTGGGTGGAGAGATGGTGAGGGGGATACAGGGGGCTGGGCCCTAAGCAACATCACAGGCCACATTGGGGGTTATGGTCTTCAGAGCAGTGGAAACCACAGGAGCTCTGGGCAGAAGCAGGTAGCCTGCCATCCAGGAGAGGACCCCAGAAATGGGGAAGGACCTTTGGGTTCCTGGAGGAGTAAGGGCGGAGGGGGGTGCTGCCTCCTCTCCCCTCACTTGGAAAATACCAGGCACCTGCTGACAGGTGGTGATGATGGGGGCTGAGGGTCTTGACCCCCTGCAGCGGCGATGCCCATTTGGATTGAAGGTGGTGGGGGGAGTCCCAGACCTGCACATCCCTCATCCCCTGCCTGGGCACCACTCCCTTCCCTCTGGGCAGCCTGGGACACAGATGGTTTATTCTCAGAGGGATATGGGACCCTCTGAGGAGTGGACCAGCAGCTGGTGGGCTTAGCTGGGCCCTTGGGCAGCAGAGGAAGCGGTGGGGTCCCGGCAGGGCAGTGGCACTTACTGCGCGCACGTGGAGAAGAGTTCTTTGCAGGGACTCCGCAGAAGCTTCTCTTCCGTCTGGGAGACCAGGTCTCGGTCAACTTGGGCCACGAACACAGGGGACTAGAGACAGAGGGGAGCAGTCAGTGGGGAGAGGGAAGGGGGGTGCCCAGCAGGCCCAGTGGCTGCTCACAATGCTCCTGACCATCTGCCCCTGGCCCTGGGCTGTAGCTGCACTGACTAGTGGTCAGGGAGGTGGCTGGGCTGGGTGATGGAGCCCGGCCTTAGAGTCAGATTCCTAGCTCTGCCACTGATGGCTGTGACCCCTGGATACCACCTGGCTCCCTGAGCCTCACCGTAGAACATGGACAGGGACAGTCCTGGCCCTGAGCTTGTGGACAAAGCCCCAAAAGGTGCTCCCAGCTGTATGGAGCTGGACATGTCCTTGCCAGGTTCCCACTGAGCGTGGCTATAGTGACCAGGGACACCTGCCTGGCCCCAGAAGGCTGGGGTTGGGGCTGAGTAGAGCTTTGGGATGACAGAGGCCTGCCTTTGAATCCCAGCTCTGCTAGCTGCAGCTGTGGCCGGCGGCCATGGCCTCTCAGCGAGGCTGAGAGCAGGACTAGCAGGTTCTCTGAGGAATTAGCACCACCTTTCCATAAGGCACGAGGCCAGACCCTGGTTTCCTAACCCCCCTGCTGTCACTTCTGTCCCCTTCCAGGCTAAGCTGTGTGGGCGTATCCAGGAGCTGTGTGTCCCACCCAGGAGCCAGGGAGCTCGGTGGCCATGGGCTCAGCTGCCAACAGAAAGGGTGTCACCCTAAATGCTGGTTGGGCCCCTACCCTAGAGGAATGAACCTGATTAATAACCCCTCAGAGTGGAACAGAGGAAGGGAAAATTGGTTCCTTAGACGGCTAGCCAAAGAAGCATCCTCCAGCATGAAGGCTATTTGGTGGGCGCCTGGATGAGCCCAGTTTCCAAGGAATACTTGTGCTAATTTCTTCTCACACTGTTAAACAGGTTCTCCATGAAAGCGGACTATTGTTCCTAAGACCCACGACAGGCTGCACAAAGCCATCAAACTCAAGAAGCACAGAAAACAGAGTGGGTATGTTGGAAAGAATTCTAGAACTCATTGTCTGGACAGCGCCTTTCCAAGTGACCGCTCCTTCTCAGATTGATAGTCACTCACTGTCATCGAGTCCGTGCTGACTCACATCAACCCCCTGAGGGTTTCTGGGACAGGAACCCTGTGGGAGTAGAAAGCCCAATCTTTCTCCCTTGGAGCTGCTGGTGGTTTTGAACTGCCAACCATGTGGATTGCAGCCCAATGCTTAACCACTATACCACTAGAGCTCCATCAGACATACAATGACTGACAAAGCTGGAAAGGTCAGTTTCACTAAAACAAACAAACAAACAAAACCCCCACCCAATTCATTGCCACTGAATTGATTTAGATTCATAGTAACCCTTTAGGACAGGGTAGAACTGCCCCAGTGGGTTTCTGACATTGTAACTCTTTAGGGAGTAGAAAGCCTCATCTTTCTCCCTCAGAGAGGCTGGTGGTTTTAAACTGCTGCTGTCGAGGTTAGCAGCCCAATACATAACCACTATGCCAGCAGGGCGCCAAGCAGGAGTTCATTACAGTGTGAACATTTCAAGCTCTTGTTGGAGCCCCGGAAAGAGCCCCAACACATCTGATGGGACTGATGTCTAGCAAAATGCATTCTACTGCAACGGGGCTGCTTCAAATAAAAGTGGCTGCCATCGGGCTCATGGAGGCGATAGGAGGGGGGTGGAACCCACCAGGGACTCTGGAACAGGGATACGTCCACGAAGATCAGAGCCTCCTGTGGGTCTTGAGTCAGAATCCACACACGGGCGGTGGGTTGGTGATGCTGTTTTGTTTAACCCAGGAGCAGCCGTCGTAGGGGTGAAGCTGTGCAGGCAAGGCCAGAGGAGCCTTATGAGGCCCCCTCCCTGATACCTGCCCTGCCCCCAGTCATTCACACACCCCTACCCGCCAACTGTTGGTGGGGCTGTCTCACCAGCTGGGCCATGAGGTGGGTGTGTCATAAATGATGGGGATAAGTGAGAAAATTGCTGAGAGTAGGCTTGGGAGGAGGGGGTGTAGACGTGCCTCTGCCCGAGGATGCTGACGTCTGAAAGGTTGGTTTGCTCTGCCCAGCTAGTGAAATGTGAGGGGGGTATGAGGGTGGTGTTAGTCTGCAGGGTCCCCTGAGGGTGTCTGTGCAGGGGTACAGAGTGCCCTCCTGTCCGGGGTGAAAGGCAACGAGGACTCACTTCTGGTACCCTATGGTTCTAAATGCTCATGCCCCAAGTCCAGGCTCTCCTTCTTTCTCGCCCAGTCTCCCCTGAGTGCCTCCCTGGAGAGGGACAGAGGATCCCCAGCCCCCAGCACTCGGGGACAGGAGCAGCTAGAATGGCAATTGCCCCCAGTGAAGGAAGAAGCCATGTGTCCTGGACAGGAGGGTCAGGACATTCTTCAGGTGGTTCCCAGGCCACTGTGCCTGCTGACCCTTCTCCCCCGACCCTCGGGGCCCCCTGGACCAGAGGTGGTGACGGAGACTGCAGGAGAGCCCCCCTCTCTGCAGCAATGAGCTCCTTCTGTAGAAAGAGTCCCGGGCTACAGAGGGAGCCTGAAGTCCCAAGCTCTGCCACCCCTACCCCTGAAAATCCTCTAGCCACTTCTTCCCCTGTACCGGGAAGGAGCCACTCCCCAGGGATTGGGAAATCTAGTGGTGTTTTGCCTCCAAACTTGGGACTCGGCTTGGGAATTCTAGCAGCTGAGTCTCGGAGGGGTCAATGACTCGTGGCCACTTTGCAACAATCCAATAGTCAAGTTGGCTGAAGGCCATCAGCAAACACTGCACAGGCTTCTGAGTGACAGCTGCTGACCGGGCTGCCTTGGGCTGGAAGGCCCCGGGCCTGGCACAGGCCCTGTGCTCACTGCGTGAGTTCATGAACAAGCTGTATCACAACGTGACTCTGAACCTGGTGACAGCTGTGGGGTTCCAACGTGACTCTGAGCACGGTGCAGGTCAGCTGGGTGGACAGGCCACAGGGAGTGACAGAGTCATTGCTGGGACCTTTAGAAAAGGGACCTGCACTGCCCACCTGGATGCATGGTGAGATGCCACACTCTGCCTGGGGTCTGCCTTCATTTCTCCTGCTGTGAAGCCCAGCTTACTCATGGGGGCCAGCCTGGTGCCCAGCCCAGGGCGGGGGCAGGGAGTGGGGGGCATGAAGCTAGTATGGTCCTTGACCTCAGAGCACTTTCCTCTAGTAAGACATGAATGATTGATGTCCCACAAGGACTTTCCAGTTGGGTCAAATGGTTAAGTGCTAAACCTAAGGTTGGCAGTTCGAACTCATCGAAAAGCACTTCAGAAGACAGGCCTGGCTATCCGTGTCTGAAAGACCACAGCCAGGAATCCTTGGGGAGTACAGTTCCACTCTGCACCCAGATGGCTGCCATGACTCAGAATGGACTCAAGGCGACTGGTTTTTTAATTGCCCATCCTAATATGAGTTGGGCTGTTAACTTCAAGGTTGGCAGATCGAGACTACCAGCTGCTCCTTGAGAGAAAGCTGAGGCTTTCTCCTCCTGTAAAGAGTTACAGTCTCCGAAACTCATAGGAGCAGTCCTGCCCTCTAGGGTATAGAGTCAGAATTGACTTGGTGGCAGCGAGTCCCCCCACCCCCTGAAGCAGAGAAGTTATTTCTCCTCTCTGCTCTATTGATGATGTGGACAATGGGCAACTGAACCTGGATGGCTTTCAACCCTTTTATTAAGACTTGAACGATCCCCTCCTAGTAAAAAGGGGCCCTGATGCCGCAGTGGGCTGCTGGGTTGCTCACCACAAGGTCCGTGGCTCCTTGGGAGAAAGGGGCGGCTTCCCACCCCTGTGAAGAGTTACAGTCTCAGAAACGTGCAGGAGTGGTTTCATATCTGCCCTTTAGGGTCATTACGCGTTGAAATGGACTCACAGGCAGGGAGTCCATAAAGTTTATCTCTAGACCAGCAGTTCTCAACCTGTGGGTCGAACGACCCTTTCACAGAGGTTGCCCAATTCATAACAGTAGCAAAATGACAGTTAGGAAGTAGCAACAAAAATAATGTTATGGTTGGGGAGGAGTCACCACAATGTGAGGAACTGTATTAAAGGGTCGAGGCATGAGGAAGGTTAAGAACTACTGCTCTAGACCCTTTGCTGAAGATGGTTCAACAATGGTTGTAGGCCCACATCAACAGGGAAATGCCCTAATTCACATGGCTTCAGCGGGGGATGAAGCATGAGGGCTATCACTGCTGCCGGCAGATGGATCTTAGCCCAAAGTGGAGAGTATCAGAGACATGTTTCCCTGTGTTTCATTGCCCAGACAAATACATTCAACTGTGGATCATCGTCAATCATGGATAACAGCGAAAAGGCCAGGTATTAATTGTGCTCACGTGGGACTTGTGCACAGATCACGAGGCAGTTATTGGAGCAAAACAAGGGGTCGGTGTACAGGTTCAAATCACACAGAGAGGGCAGCAGGGTCCTGTCCTTTCACCACATGCGTGCCACCCCCACCCGTGTGCTGAACAAACACGCGATCTAAGAAGCTGGATGACAAGAAGACCAATGTGTCAGGAGGGCTGGGTGACATAGCCTTGCTCGTCGAACATGTAGAAGACTTGAAGCTTTTACTGATGAAGATCCAAGACGACAGCCTTCAATATGGATTACACTTCAATGTAAAGAAGACAAAAATCCTCACAACGAGACCAATGAGCAACATCCCGGGAGATGCAGCAAACACTGAAGTTATCAGGGATCTCATTCCACTTGAATCTACAATGCACACCCACGGAAGCTGCCATCAGGAAATCAGATGACACACAGCATTCAGTGAATCTGCTGCAAAAGATGCTTTACAAGTCATTACAAAGCAAAGAGGCCACTGATAATAATTCATAAATTACCAAGGGTTCGTGAGGGAGGGGTGGAGGGAAGTAAAAAAAGGAGGAGCTGATACCAAGGGGTCAAGTAGAAAGAAAATATTTTGAAAATGACGATGGCAACTAATGTGAAAATGTGCTTGACACAATG